TGCATGAAACAAACAGACCCCACTCTACAACAAGGCACACCCCAGCACATTCCTTCCATGTTCTGAATAAAATGGTCTAGAATGGAAATACAGCTATTCAATGAAATTCTTTATAAAGAAACCCTTAGCCAAGATCAATATTATAATGAGGAATTGAATAACACCTGTGTCTTTCTATAATCACCCATCAAAAGACTTGTAAAAAAAAAGCAGTCTATGGAGTGTTACATGCAGAAATGTTGAATTGCCATAAAATGATCATGTACATGGCTGAAATAAATTATCATTTCAACTCAAGTCCAAATATACATTGTATACTATTCAGTTAGCAGATAAACAAAATTGATTCGTTTCAATTTCAAGGGTAAACACTGTTCGGACGATTTTGTGATAACATACAGTACAATAAATAGCATTTATGCAACAAATTTTGTGCAATTTAGACCACACCTTTTGTGCAAGCTGATGAACCAACAATGGAGTTAACAATTGTGAATTAGAACGAGCTTGGACAACAGGTGCATTGGTCACATGCTTGTTGGGGTCGGCAAACAACCAAAGTGTAGCTTCACTCAAAATAAAGGCAGTGGTAATCATAACATATGTACATCCATGGTAAATGAAACTTCAAACCTCATGAGGCAAGCACAATGTTGTAGGTCCCTCATTTGATTTTTATGCACTGCACTTGTATTCAACAGGGTCTTTGGTCAGATGTGAAAATGGTATTTCCCACCCAATGATATTTCATATTCACTCACAGATATGTACAAATGTACAATTAATTACTTTCACCCCCTTAATCAATAACCACCCCCATGAAATGTTTAAAACTCCTCCCTTCCCTCCAAAGTAGAGTCTCATAATTAAAAAGTGTCTGCACGACCTTCCAAGCTGCTGGCCCCCACTTCTGCCAAGTAGCATGTAAGCCTAGATGTGTAGGTTTCATTATGGCTATGACTAGATATATACTGTAGAATGTGCACTTATGGGAGGCAATGGCTAATGATTGAAGCCACTTCCCACAGACAGGTGCACTACTCCCAGAAGCAATCAGTTGTAGCAGTGCAATCTGAGGACAGGAAGTGTGTTGTTAGCCTTATGATCTCTGACACAGGGTCATCTCATTGAATACATGTGAACAGATATACATGTATGTACATACAACATGTGATATGTACATGTGTGTACATTCATGTACAGTATAATGCTAACTGTGGAGCACTGATGATCAGTAATGTAGGGGCAAAGTAAGAAAAAACAGTGCTCACCGGTTTGCTACGGTGCTGAATTTTCGGCCTCACTGGGCCTTCATTGGAGCTGTGGGGGGACTTGTGGTTTGAATGCAGAAAAATCCACATTCAAACCGCCTGGCGTCAGTGTTCCAATCCGGAATAATAGCGCATCATATTCCAGGTTGGAACACTGACGCCAGGTGGTTTGAATGTGGACTTTTCTGCATTCAAACCACAAGTCCCCCCACAGCTCCGATGAAGGCCCAGTGGGGCCGAAAATTCAGCACCGGTGAGCACTGTTTTTTCTTACTTTGCCTCTACGTTATTCATATACAGTATGTCTACAAGTTGCAGCATTGGAATGCGTACATACCGGTACATGGATGTACACACATGTTCACTACCACGAACTTGACCCATCAGACAACCAGGTACATGTACCAGTAAGTACAATCCAAGAGCGGATACCAAACCTAACTTTTGGAGGTGGGGCAAAAAATGGAAACTTTCTCAGGCAACCTTTTATGGTCTTTCTGGGGGATAAGGCTGTCACTTATTTTAGGGCTTTTTAGATGCTTACAGAATGGAAGAAAGGGAAAGCAGGTCCCCATCACACTCCTCTCATTCTTGAAAAATGGAGGGTCCATCATCCCTAGTTGGACCCCCCCTCCCTCTGAATAAATTTACAGCACACAGTAACCAATGGCCTCAAGCGGGACCAAGAGAGGGTGCAATTTTCCGAGCAACGGAGGCTCCTCGCTCGTTCATGAATGACTATGAAGCGCAACATTGCAGTCGCATCACTACAAACAGAAATGAACACTCCCGACCAACCTTGCCCTTTTCAATCAATGAGGGGGTGCTTCGGCTCAGGGCAGATAGGGCATGTAGGGGTTCAACATCTTTGCTCCCTTAATCCTGTAGTACATGTAATGGTACGTTTGGCAGGATGAACATTTCCAGTGTCATATCTTCACATTCAGTCTGGTCTCTAACGTCTCACATACCTTCTCTTGTTTGTTTATGGTCACTCTTTTCATTCTGTAAAATTTTCTCCAGTCTTGATCTGTGCTCATACACAACTGTCAATAAAAAGCAAAAATAAATGTAGGTTTCAATAAACAGACTTCCACCAATGGTTTCAAACAGGAAAATAAATGATGAGCCACTCAAATAGCAGACTGACCATACATGTACTGTGCATGTACATAGTTGAGCATCACAAATCCAAACAAACCAAACGTCAATATTTCTTCGCATTTTCCTGTTCCTAGGATGGGGATTTTCTCACAATCAACAGGCACACAACATGGGATGGCTTCCCTTGGGGTGGGGATTTTGTCACTAACTGAAGTGACAATGCCCATACAGGTACATGTACATGTATCTTGAGTGGGACAGCTGGGGGAGGGGGACCACTGTAAGGCAACTGGCAAAAGTGTCTGCCCCAACCTCCCTACACCCCTAACTTTCTTCCAATACTTCATTTACGTGTACTAATGGGCTGTAGTAGTGCACAGTCATGACAGAATTGATGTCCAGTGGGCCTCACTGATGTCCAAACACAGTGGCTACAGCGTGATTCCAAAACGAGAATTAGAGGCCATTAGAGCACTCATGGACAGGTGGTACAACGCTCGTGGACAGGTGGCACAACGCTCGTGGACAGGTGGTACGTGCCCGTGACATGCCTCTTCAACCAATGGGGTATCGTAATTTGTAACATGAATAAACATCCCCATCTGACATCTAACTTCACCAAGACGGCATGTTTGAAATTTGGTTGCACAGATAGCTGCGATGGAAGAGTACATGTAAGTTGGCTCAATCAAAACAGCCAAAATGTGTTTATGGGAATTTGTACATGGCTATCTGAAAGGTCTGTATAAACCTTACAGTTCTGGAAGTACACATACAAGCCACAACATGACTTCCAAATTCTATAGTTATGGCGCTGTACAATAAGCATGGTCAATCCATAAATTTTTAAAATTCAACTGTTCAAGGATACTTTCATCTGGTAGCTCATTCCATATCAAGCAGGCCTACATGTAGGCCTATGTTGGGCACAATTGGTTAACAATCTTTTGATCAGTCGATTTTGCTACTTCATATGTGGATGATTCTACCATATCATGGCCAAATGGCTTTCTCTTTCAACTTCATGGCTTCAAAAGTTTTTAAAAATGATGTACGTGTAAAGTTTCAGATTTTATGCCAAATTACCCAATGGTGCAGAGTGATCGGGTGATCATGCAGATCAACTGATTGTGTCCAGTGGACATCCAGAAACGTAACTTCAGTGCATTTCTGCATACGGTAACATCGAAAATCAAGAGTGCAAATTCACGTCTTTGCGGTATGTTTAAGGCCACAGTGAGGTCACATCAACCACTTGAAATTAGAATGTTTACTTTCCATAGTAGTGGACCTTTTCTTTTATTTGGTAGGTACAAAAGGCTTCCTAACTACATGTCCTGGCCTAACATGCCTGAGCATTTTTTAAAGAAAATAAAATGCACGATCCATAATCCATTCAGCATATTCAGACATTACAAACTGGTCTGGTGCCTGTTTCCAATGGTGCAGATAGATTGATAAAAACATGACAAAAGAGGTAGACAACAACTTCGAAACTTAGTGAACAAATAACATGCGGTCTTAAGTCTTTTAAGTGCTGTACATTGTAACTACGAACTAGGCCTGCTGTACAGCCAAGGTCATTTCATAATTCTTTGTAACGATGAAAGAACTCGGCATTTCCACAAACCTTGGAGCTGCGCCGTCAGAGATTCTTGCTGTTGTTGGTGTTGTTTTGCCTTAATTTTGGTCTCTTCCAAGGCCTTACGGACCTGCCAATACGACATACCCACGTAACCCATAAACAACAGGCCAAGTATGACCAGGAATGTGGGTATCATGCTACCTCGACGGGCCATCATGCTGCTACGTCCCGCCGGTAAAACCACGTTGGGGCTCGCTAAAGTTATTCGCTTCAAATCCAGAATGTCGTACCGATTTCCTTCGCCCTACGACGGTGTTAGAGCTACCAGACACTTGTGATGACTACTTGTAGGCTAAAGCTAGGAAAATGTGCATCCTTAATGTTGCATTGTTCCTAATTTGCTATGCTTTCCGAACATTTATTGTGGATTTCCGCACTGCACTTTTAATTACAGGTTCAATTTGTTCACGTACGTGTACGTTTCTGCAGTACACGTACTTACAGCGCGTACACGTATCATGTCTGATTCCTTCTGCTCTCCCGATTAAAAAGTTAACAGAGCGGAGATGGCGTCCGACTAATCGAACTTGCTTCGTGTCGCTTGTCGCTGGTTTGAAATAAACATAGGAAGTGGTACTTGGTGCAATGTTTAAAAGCGCTATAGGTAAACTAACATTTAGTTTTCACAGCGTCATCAGTCAGATTGACCACAATGTAGGCCCAGGCTTCGTGTACATGTATTATGTACATAATTATGTTCTTGCTCTGAAGTTTGCGGGATTCAGTGGCCTGGATCAAAGCAGATGAAGTGCCGCTACGCTCGGAGTTTACTAGCGAGGCCTAATCCCTTCCTAAGGAAAGTCACACCCTTAAATTTAATGGTTGACAAAAATCATGTTGAATATAAGGACGTACATCATGTACACATTTACATGTGCGAGGCTAGAGCTTCCAATAAGAGTCAATTAACGGTTAATTATTATTAGTTATGGCATTGTATGACTGGAAATGTAACAGTAATGCTTTCAATAACTTTGCGATTTTTTCGTTGAAAGTCAAATACACATTAACTTGAACATCGTTTAGTTCAACTGATAAAAATTGAAAGGTTTTTATAGCATTCAATAAATCATATCGCAAACACTCGATGCATAAATGTAGGCCGACTTAAAATGGTCAATGACAAAGGAGCACAGCAACTATTGGAACAAACCTATCTTTGAATTCAAAGGCCTAACCAAATTTTGAAAGGTAATATTTTACCGTTAAAGGAACCAGGAAATTAAATTTTCTTAGAATCACTTTTTTGTATCTCTGTACTCTTCACCCATGTATGAAGACTGTTTGACATCTTGTTTGAGTTACGTGAACTGAAAGGCGTTGCACTTTTTCATTAAAAATTGACATAGAATTTCGGGACAAGTGAGGGCGCTTTTGCTTTGATGTAAATCCAGGAAGACATGGTTCAGGTTGCATGTTTTCATGTTCAAATTGTGAATCACAAATTTGCTATCTGGGAACACTTCTGTGAAAAGGATTTTTGCTTTGATTATTGCCGTATACTTACACAGCAATAAATCGCGAAAGAGAATAAAATCTGTCATCGGGTTTAAAAAATCTAGAAATATCTGTGCACAAATCAGTGCAACATTGAGATTCAGTGCCTTGGATGACATCATAGTTCTGCTCATGAATATACAAATTGCATTGCCTAAAACAGAAAAGCATCAAAATATTGTTTAAAATTGCACAACAGAAATTGAAAATGAGGTTAATTGAAACCCAAAGATGCAATTTCAAGGGTTTCTAGTAAAATTTATAAATATATTTCTATTTCCTGGTTCCTTTAAGAGAAACGCAAACGTACCTTATAGATAAGTTCAGGCTTGAATAAAACGACAGCTTAGCGATTTGGTGCGCCCAATGGGAAAATACTTAATCGCATCGGACCACCGATATAAGCCTTATTAGCGTGGATAGGACCACGGTAATAATGTGACAGCGCCTCCAACGGTAAATTCACTCGACGAAAAACTGCAGCTTTCGTGTGCATTTGTAATTCCACTAACCCTGCACAAAATGTTTGCAGGAAGTACAATTACACGTGTACTGAAGTTCTACCTTTCGTCTTCCCCAAAGGCAATTTCATTTGCAGCTGCCTCCGCGAGATATTCGGCCTCCTTGGTGTCAACATAAGAACGGTACCGACATTTATAAGTGAACCCTTAATGTTGATATCATGCAAAGTCCAAAACGGGAAATTTACTGACAAAAATTCATAACTCCCATTGATCCATATTACCTGAATTTTTAACATCCAACCCAGTCGGCAAATTCATATAAATAAACAGAAAATCAGACCACAAACGTTAATTATTCTTGTAATTTTATTTGAACGCTGTCCTGTGGACATGGTGAAAAAGCCATAAAGTGCCGTTCGAGATCATTAAAGTTGGTACTAATACAAATGCACTATTGTTCCCGCTAGTCAAAGCCTTTACGGGAAGAATACTAAACCTTATAATCCACTGACGCCACAAACGTAAAAAGTGCATATAGTATACTTTTAAACTAGTCTACAAGGTAAAATTATGTGGATAAATCAGGTAGTGAGACACACAACCAATTATTGCAATAGAACACGTGCATGACAATTGGTACACGCGCATTCAATGCGTTGACCAAGAGGGTATCGTCGCGTTATTTGCAAAATACACGCACGCCAGAAGATTGAGAATGCGTGCGTGACTGTGGTACCCACATCACGGAATAATCTATGGCTATCGACGTTATTTTGATAGGAACCTCATCAATTAAATTAGGACGAGAAACGTTTGATATCTTCATAGCTACCTTAAAACCAAGAGGGGAAAATAATGAATGGTTTCATTTCGACCCATTAATAAATTTATATTGTAAGCCTCTTGAAATCAATGTTTCAAAATAAATGTTACTAAGTAACACAAAGCCTTTTATGATTAAAAAAATTATGTACACTTTGATATTGGCATAAGAATGGAAATGAGAACACTATTGGAACTACTTAAGCATAATGCAATGTTTATGAGTGATCATTCAAGAAGTGTGCGACTATATTTCCACATCAACTCTTAATTATTACAAAATAATTTTATAAAGATCAAGAAGGCACTGAGGAACTGCATTTTCATCTTTTCATAAATCCTGTCCAGGAACACTTTACAAAGTGAAAAAGACAAGGAAAAAACAACTTCGAAGAACTTTAACAACAAACTTTTTTGCCCAACGGTGCAAGCAATTTGAACAATTGGAGAAGCTATAATTTAAACAGACAAGCAGTATCCGAGAAACGAAACAAATGCTGAACAAGCTCAGAAAATGCAATTTATCGAACTACTTGAACTTCAACGCAAAATCATATTTAAGGAACAGACTTTGCCTATAGTACACATCTGATCATTTTGCTTCCATCCAATATGAACTAACGAATTATATTCCACTTTTTCCAAATGTAAGGATAAGCATTGTAAGACCCATTTAACACATCCAAGGGTGAAAGCGGGACAGCCGCTAATGACGAAGTATAATTTGTTCATATACAAGAAGCACAATTCTTTACTGTAAATGAGAACAGATCCATCACACTGACCTACTGTCGTTCATCAAATTTCCCAGAATTGTCAAACTTTGGTGAACGTCATTGGGATTTCAATGTGCCTTTTGGAAAGAAAAAGCGAAATTACCGGTAGCGTGTCACGTGGCTTTATCATTATAATCAGGGCACCTGTACTACCTAATTCCATGGTTCTAAATTTTTGACTTCGAGAAGGGTCGGTCACTCGTTGAAAAAAAGCGGGTGAAAAGTGATCTGATTCTCCCCGAAAATTCGGAAGACAATCACACTATTATCGGTAGGAAATTCCAGACAGGATCGACGGCATTAAAGATTTTTTTCTCGGTCGGAGTAAAAATAAGGGTCGGTCGGAAATGAGAACCATAGAATTAACCACAGACACCTGCAGGTAAAATCAACACATTAGCTTGATTGTTTGTCATTTCACAGCTGATTTAGGCTAGCACATTTAATTAGTTAAGTAAACATACACCTGCACAAATACGACCGCGATTCCATGAAAAACAAACGTGATGTTAAAGTTGCACTGATCAAGAACTCTGACCTGAAAGATAAACTTGTTCCATGCAAAAGGAAGAAAAAACGCAATATTGTGTATCACATTCATAAAACTGAACACGATTTCAATTTTAATCATTACGTATCGAGAAAAAATGAAAGTATAAATATAGGCATACTTTGCCACGAACGGCATTTCTTTTTTTAATCCGATACACTTGCTCCGTATCAGACTAAAGAGGTGAACCTCGCAATGCAACAACCAATGTAAGTGTTGTGTTGGCATCACTCTCTTGGAGTTGAACCGTTCTAATGGGTCCGGTACCATCTTCTTCACCCTGGGCGTCACCTCTAAGCTGGATGCCAGTGACGTCGTGAGCTACGTCATCAACCTTTTTCATAAAGGCTGAGATTGGATCCGATTCCACCACCAACTTGTCTGCTACCATCGAATCCTTTCCTACAATGATATCAGATCCTTGGAGCTTGGGGGTCCTTGGTGAATTAAGACCCTTGGTAGGTTCTGAAGAAACTAACGTAGCATCAATACCATTCTTCGGCCCTGACTTTCTTTTGAGATTGGAATTTTCTTCGATACCCTCGGAAGTTTCCACAGGACAGATGCCCTGGCTACCAATATCACCAGATGTAATTACATCTTGTTTTACCATTTTTCCATCCGACCAGTCTTCACACTGTCCAACTTCAAACTTGGATTGATTTATTGGTGGCTTTTGTGGAAGTTTATCTCCAGAATTTGCGATGTTCGAGACTTCAGGCATTTCACCTTCTTCGTTCACGGCTTCATGCACGCTTCTTGGTTTCAAAGATGACCTTTCTCGGCCTCTTGAATATGCTCCTTGCATGCTCACTCTACCACGACCCCTTCCTCTACCACGACCCCTGACAAGCCCTCTTCCACGACAAGATCTACCCCTTCTACCCCTTCCAGAGGTCTGAAGCCTTGAAGAACCACGTCTTTCAACTGTTACAGAAGCCCTGTTAGGAACGTCTTCAATGACACTTCCCAGTTTTTTCAGACCTGCAGGAGCGGACATTTCCTGCCTATTTAGACCTCGGTAAAGTCGGCCACCTCTCGGGCGCCCTCTGCCTCTACGCCTCCCACGTCTTGCTACCTTAGGTGGACTTGCATCTAGAATGTGGCTAAGAGGATTCCCCCTCTTACGCGCTCTTCCCCTTTTTCGTCCACGAGGTCGCCCAAGATAGGTTGGAACATTAGACAACTCTCCACAACTCGACACGGCAGGACTTCTCTCCCTAATCGGGTATTTCTTCAACGTTGGAAGGCTGGAATTGTCTGCCTCACTCTGTTTCAGTTGTGTACTTTGGGTCTTTCCTGTTACTGAAGCCAAGTTCCATGTTGCCATGCAACGTGTTTTCTTTTTCCCTTTTTTTGAGAAGATAGGTCCGACACTCATTGGTCTTATCCTCAGTTGGAAAGATGACGCAGTGGGAGGTTGCTGGTCGTTGTCCATGGAGGGAAATTCATCCTCATTGGATGCTGCGACTTGTGGACCCAGATGCTTCCCTATTCTATCATACAATCCACCTGCTGCACTGTTTTCTGACGTTTCCTGTCGGTCAGTCATTCCCGATTCCTCAGCTGTCTTCTTGTTAACGTCATCAAGTTCTGAAGTATCCTTGCGTGTGGTCTCCATACTGGCCGTAATAGAACTTTCATTGTTTGTAGACTTCGGAGTTTCTTCATCTTGAGTATCATTCCCTGAAACACTGGTCTCTTTTTTCATTGCGTTTTCCTCGATATATTTCAAAGGATCTACGACGTCAGCAGGACGGAACTGGCATACCAGTACGTGTTTCTTTAAGCTCTTCAGATATGTGTAGTGGTGCTTGCAAAATGGACACTGGTGTTGGTAGTTAAGCAACGTCTGGTCCTTTTTCTTTGTCATCAGTTTCACTTGCATGATCTGGTTGAGTTTCAGCTTGTCTCTGTTAGGACACATTCTCATATGCCTCTCCAACTTGTTGATGAAGTAGAATTTCTTCTCACAGCCGTGACAAGTGTGGATATCATCCATGTTGCCTGCTGGTTCGCGACGGGAATACTTCATGGGGTTGTAGATTTTTAGGCCCGGTTTAGCTCTTTTTGGCCTGTCTGTGGAACCGGGCTTTGACTGCTCGTCTACCTGAGGTTCTTCTTTGCTGTTATTTAGCTTCCAGTCACCCTCTGTGGCTGCTTGGGACGCTGACAAAGCACCAGGAATCCTGACATCTTGACTTCTTTCGACTATTTGAGCACCTGGTTGACTCGTCTCTTGTTTTGCAGCACATTCCATGATATGTTTATGGAAGTCTGCAATACTGTCGAACTCCTTCTCACACTTAGTGCATCTGTTAACTAACGTGCCACTTAGTTGTTCTTGGTTCTTGGGGTCAGCCAGCATGCTCAGGTAACCAATTTGGCGCGCATGAGCAAAGGGGTGATGCCTCTGAGGGTTGAAAGGTACATGTTTCCGGGGCGGAGTTTTGCTTTTCACGGGTGCGACCCCAAACGAAGATGACTTCACCGGAATCGTTAATTTACCGATTTTTAGGGGATTGAGTTTGCTCATCTCCTGAGCAATGAATGACACTCGTGGTGATTGCTGTGACCGGATGCTGGCAAGGGGTCTGGCGTGAACAACCCCCTGTCTGGGGTCCGTAAAATTAAGTGGGCGTAGCTCCCCCGTGTTTGTCTCCCTGTAAGTGTACTCCTTAAGGCCGTGGCTATCCACCTGATGTTTCTGCAGATTGGATAGGTAGGCAAAATCCCTTCGACAGACACCACATGAGTACATCTTCTTGACGTGGTGGTGCTGCGTACGATGCACTGCAAGTCCAGAGGGATTCTGAAAGAGCCAAAGGCAGAACTCGCACTTATAGGGCCAGTCTTTGGCGTGCTCTATAACGTGTGCATTCATAGATGTCATGGACGGCAAGACTTCACCGCATACGTTACACGCAAAGTCCATCTTGGTAGGAACAAGTGCGCGACCACTCACGTCTTGTAGTGTTGCTTTCTGAAGGGAACTGTCAACAGCTGTGTTTTGGATAACGTCACTGTGACGACTGCTTTCGCAGCTCAAACCATCCTGATCCTGAGCTTTACTGTGAGTTACTGAAGACGCAATGGATGATTGCCCTGGGCTACTTACTTGAAAAAGGCATTGTTTGTTGTCTTGGGACACAGGTGTTACCGTGAAGTTAGGAGGAGAGAAAACCTGCTTCTGTGAAGAATCCAAACTGCTAGATTTCGTCCCCGTACCACATAAATTGGATGGCTTGATTTCGGTTTTGATGGGGTAGAACGTCGGGGAACCGGAAGTTCTATACAGTTTGCTCAAATCGGAATTGCGAGATTTCACTTGCAAGGCTGCTTGAGCATTTACCACCTCTAAAGTTCTCTGCAGTTGTGTTGACATTATGGAAGTACTTTGGCAGTCACTGACGGTCGAACTCATGGTAGTTAGAATGCTTTTTGCCTTCTTACTGAGATCTAGGGGAACTGTTTGTTCGGGTAGTTGATTAAAATAAGGAAGTGGTTCTGTCCCTGTGTTGTCAAGACGCAGTCTTTTGGGAAGACTTAAATCCAAAGCAGAATCACTGTCACCAGACTGAACGTAAGATCTTTTAGTAGCAAGGTCCATTGCTCCAAACTTATCGAAGTTGCCGATACTTGAAGAGCGTGAGGTTACCTTGATACCCTTTGTTGGGATATATGGTCGGGGCTTCTCAAATTCGCCGTTGGGATCTCCTCGGGCTGCATAAGGAAAAGGTGCGGAGGATTGTGGTTCTTCCTTGGGGAACGAGCGCTGAGGCAGAGAAGCAAGAGTCCCCTCGTTTGGACTTCTTCTGGAGAATGAAGAACTCAAACGTGGACTCAACTGAGCGCGTTGGTACAAGCGGGTCTGGTCAGTTACGGTATTAGCATACTGAGGACTGACGACAGAGAACTGACGAATCTTTGAGCCTTGGTGGAAACCCTCTTTTGTCTGGTTGCTTAGAATGACTCCTTCGTTGTCCACGCAATTGTGGGTCGATTTGCGAGCTGAAGGGGGCTGAAGAGTCGACTGTGTTTGATCCTCAGGCACAAGCAGTAGGGACTTAACATCAATATGAGCCCCAGAGTTTATGGTGACGGGTGGGCTCGCGGAAGGGGTGCATGAAGATGGTTGTTTGGCAATCTGCGACTTGCGCACGTCATTAGTGGTGTCACTGGTATAACTGAATGTAGGGACAGTGATAGGAGTCACATTTTGTTGTGATGAAGTAGGAGGATGGGTGTGGAAAACCGCAGATTGATTGCTTACAAGGGGACTATCATTACTTACAGCCGTGGTTGGTGCTGGCAGAATGGGTCGCACTCGCTTCCCGCTTACTACATACAGCTTGGTAGGTGGCTGCATATTTGTTACCGACACGTTAGGCGATACTTGGCGTAAACGGGAAGTGGACACAGTGCCATGTGTTGAAGAAACATCACTGGAGAACTGCGGGGCGGGCACTGGTGCTCTCTGATCACCTGACATCGATGTGTTGAGTTTAGCATTGCTACTGTATGGACTTGTTTCTCCCAGATTCACGAGGAGTTTGGTTCTCCTCTTCCTCATTCGGGCAACACTGACGCCGTGCACAACTCGCTTGTGACGGTAGACATTCGGTAAAGATGCAAACATCTTGTTACATAAGTTGCATGGGTAGATCTTATTGATAAACCGTTTCTTCTCTTTTATCTTATTGAATTTAGCTTGGGACGACTCTAGCGGGATCGCGTAACTTCCTCCTACTTCAGATGGTTGATCCATGGCATGAGTTTTCAATAAAAGGTTTTGGAAATGTCGTCGTGTGGAATAAGTAGTGGGATTCTTTGGAATGTCTTTAGATGATTTGCTTTGTGATTTCACTATCGTTTCCTCAATACCATGACCGGCAATGCGAGCTTGGTATACGCGTCCAACTCCCGCCATATTGTTGTCGTCTGACGGAAAATCAGCGTTCATTTGATGCGATATGACGTGAGCGTGGATGGAAGGCAGACTATCAGTTTCGGCCTTACAATACTTGCACTTGTACGGTAACTGCCCCAAATAGTGAGCTTTGACATGGTCGTCTAGCGACTTAAAGCAATCAAACGTAAGTTCACAGAATTCACACGCAAACGCCAGCTTAGGCGGGGACGTCACTTGTGTCTTTTGTTGCCCAATTTTCTCTTCCAAATTGCTTGTTTTGGGATCTAAGTCGACCGGAGGCAAGGAGTCTAGCTTTGTTTTCTGAATGATACCAGGAGCTTCCATGCCTTTATCGACGAGAACATCTTCCTTATTACTGTTGGCACTGGTCTGTCCATTTATTAGAGGTTTAATCTTTCTTTTTGTAATTTGATTAAGTAACTTTTTGCTGCCTCTTTTCGCTCTGCGTCGCCTTCTGAAGGGTGGACCAGTGCTGTTCACAAAGTGGCTTCTGAGTTGACTGACGGTCTGGAAGATCTGGCCACACGTCAAACACTTCACAACATTCTTTTTGTATTTTGTTGTACACAAGAAATCAACTTTCTTCAAAATATATTTGGGATTTCGAAGAGTGCATCCTGTTGATTTTATACCTCCAGCTGGCTCATGGGATAAATCCTTGGTAACAGCGTTAGGTATAGATAAGAACTCTGCAGATTCATGGCATAAATCCTTGGTAACGGTGTTAGGTATAGATAAGAACTCTGCAGATTCATGGGATAAATCCTTGGTAACGGTGTTAGGTATAGATAAGAACTCTGCAGATTCATGGGATAAATCCTTGGTAATGGTGTTAGGTATAGATAAGAACTCTGCAGATTCATGGGATAAATCCTTGGTAATGGTGTTAGGTATAGATAAGAACTCTACAGATTCAGCTACTTCACCCTGATTCTCAAATTCGATCTTGTCACCACCTTCTTGAAGGGTCTGATCATCAGTACCTTTAGTTTGCAACAAAGAGGCAGACTGTTTATCGAGCGATGAAGAAGAAGATTCCACATCCTCTACAGCATCTGTTGCCAAACTCACATTTTCCACCAAACAGCTGTCTTCGCCCACTGATTGCTTGCTGAGATTATGCCCGTGTTCAATTGTCTTTGTTGTTCCATTAGCCCCCTGTACGTCTCCAATGTTGTTGCCAAACATCGGTGATATCAGAGGAGGGGAAGCACAGGAGCTACGGTGGGTAGGTGAGACCTGCATCTGGATGGGACTAGGACACGTATCTGCGCTCTGATCGTCTCTTGCAACGTCACTGTTTATCTTCTCGAGGACAGGCATTCGATTCGTACCCTCTGTCGATTCTGAAAGGAAAGAGAAGTATCATACTGGTGAAATTTATGGCTCAGGGCGGAGAGAGATACAGACTTTAAATGTCGTTGCCGCCACCACTTGGAACGACCTCCTTACCTTTCGGTTTCAAGAGCATGGGTTGAACTTCGTTCCATTGGTTGCAGAAAGTAATTAAATTCAATGAGTAGGGGAATTTCCGTGATTGTCTTAAAGACTGACCAACAATTCCCCATGACACTCAGTCACTCAAGGGAGGGGTAATTACTATTTCCCCAGTTTAAAATACGTATTTTAATGCCTTCCAGGGTTTAAAGAATTTATCTGACGAAAGAGCGTCCACTGAGATACAATTTGTCAGTTTTACACTGACAACCAGCATGAATAGAATTTTAAGTGTATATGGGTGTAGAAAAAATAAGAATAATTATAGTGCAATAATATGCTTTGTAGTTGATGGCTGTAAAGCTTTTCACTGGCCCATTATTTGCATTTTTGCAGTCACGAATGACTGAGCACATTAATCTAAAACAATACCGTAGCCAATTAGTGGCCTTGATGTGGGTCTACTTGAAGTCACCTTATCCAACGTTGACACGTTTCTCACTTCGCAAAAACGGCAACATGAAGTTTTAAATTCAAGTTGGCACCGACTATTTGAGTATTATGATTTCAAAAACGTTTGAAATGATAAAAAGACTTATACACAAGAAACAGTATTAGCGACGGCGCATTTTTGAGTCAGTTCGTCTCAAGATGTTTCATAACAACTTCGCAAAAGTACGTGTGGTTCATATAATATAAATGCTTTATTATACTTTGAAGCCAGTAGAGTTCAGATATGCATTACTTTATGGGAAACAAGAAGATATACATCGCCCATGGAAATCAGATACAGCTTTAAATAGACGTACAGCGCTGAAAACTAGCTTTCACGCAAAGATAGTACAGCGCCGAAGGCGCAAGATAGATAACTCTGTCGAAAAGGTGTAATTACCATGGGCACCATTCGAGCAAGCGATACGCCTGCGCGGTTCACGGTAATGCTTAGGCACAGGCTCACCAGGTGTAAGTGCCTACCGCGGCGCCTGCGCCTCTGCATTAATGTGCAGTGCGCAGGTGTACCGCTTGCTCAAATGGCGTCCATGCGATTACAACGTTTTACGTGTATTCACGGTGACATTCTCCATCTTGCGCCACTACGCGGCGCTATACGATCTTTGCTTTCACATAACTACTTGTTTTTCATTTTGGGTAAAGACCCAGTGCTTGTAAAAAATATGAGGGCAAATGTAAAAGGCCAGGAATCCAAGAATATATTCAACTGAAATCAGAAGATACAAAGAGGCTCAGAAAAATAAATCAGATATTATGGAGTCGCACCATTTGAATGATCTGTAGTTAACTCTGGTACGTTCTCTGGGCTTGCTAATGAGACGACGTTGGAGATCTGAATTCCACCTAGCGCGATAGCGAGAGGATTGTGGCCCGGAGAGATCGAGTCTCGGCCGGCTTCAGACTCTGTCTCTGGCTCAGCTTCATCGTCGTGTGCCTCCGAAGTTTCATTGCCTGATGTGTCTTCCTTACGAGGGGAGACCTTGGCCACGTGACCTGTTGAGAACCAGCAAAGCAGCTCCTTGCCCGAGGGAATATCCTAGCAATTAATGGACAAGTCCACGGAATTAAAATCTTTTAGATAAGTGCAAACAGTGGAAACGTGGGAAACTATCTATTCACAAGAAGGGATCATTCCACTGAAAGCTGACCATCATAGTTACGTATAATGACCAAAGGCATACCAGAAGACATGTGGTCGTAAATGTTGGCTAATAACTCTTAAGAAATTGCCTTAACTTTTAGTGACTTTGGGTACAAATAAAATGTGTAAATCTTTGCACTAAGGTAACAAAAATATCAACAAGTTGAGCACTTGTTTGGGTGTACTGTCTGTGACAGATTTAGAAAAAAAACAGAAAGTATCCAGAAGAACAAATATTACAGGCAGCGCATTAACATCTAGCTCAGCAGAACATGATCGAGCCAAAAAGTTTAGAAATAAAAAACAAACAAAAGAATGTAGCAGCATCTTACCCTCATAGCTTTGTAGAAGATGTTCTTTTTCTCTTGTGAAGCTAGGATGTTCTGTTCTTCGAAGTAACGAGCACTCTTCACATAACGCATCCAATTACCAGTGTTTGGATCAGCTGCATCGATGCAATAGAGACGACGCCCTTTTGGACCGCGGATCTGTTATAGTATATCAAATGACGTTTTCAAAAACTGTATTATTCACACGGTATATCTTTATGCTCAAGTACAAATTGTTTCAAAAAGGCAAAGCACTTTGCTTTGTAGAATCACATAATCGGGTAACCAATGTCCATTATTCTACTGACCAAGTCTAAAATATTGAACAATAAATTAGAATAAAAAGGATGTTAAAACAGTACATCAGACACAAAGATATCGAATTCGAATCTACGTTTTGCAACGATTACAGAAAGCATTCACCAAATGTGCCAAATTTCCAATGGGATTTTTAGACAATATCCTTATGGACAAAACGAAGCAGTAATTGCAGATGGTTAAACACGTTTTTGAGTTTCACTTTCAAATTAGTGACAAGAAATTTCTTTCATTTAGTTTGACTCCTTTTTCACAATGTAACAAATTATGATTCGTACATGCATTACATCTGTTAGGTTGTAATCCATACATTGAGACTTACTTCCCAACTGTACGTATCATCATCTACGTCCTGAAGTTTCTTCTTTTGTCCTTCAAATGGACCAAAAACCGTTCCTTTCTTTATAGTCCTCTTGGCCCAAACACCTAAAGCGAATGAGTAAAACATTCATTGAAGAAGTCAGGCCACAACCCTTATATAGGTTTTTATCTTAAGGACAAAATGTGTTTAACATTACAGAAACTGGCTACAGTGATATGTATTTTATACTTCTGTCTAATTCTTATTCTTTCTGTAATAATTGCAGTATGGCGTCATTTGGAGGCCAAGTCGATCTCAAAGCAACGTAAATATCCTGTTACAATCGCCATTGTGCTTTTCAAAGTACCAGCACAATAGTTAATTATTAAAGAAAAACCTGGCTCCAGGGAGCTAATGGAACAATTCTAAATTAAACAATCTGGGCAGCATCTGTGTCGTTGACAATGGACTCCAAGACGAGTCTTACCTGTGTGTTCAGGAAACATGGACGATTCCTTGAACTGCAACTCTTGAGGAAGATTCCGCAGTATGCGATCTGGCACCGCCTCCATGGCGGACACGCCTACCAAAGGGATGCATAAAAAATATACTAAAACTGGAGTGTAGCTTTTAATTTTTTTCAAAGAGAAAGATTTCTGATAGTAGAAATATGGGCAACAAGCGAGAGTTCATTCCAAGAGACACATTTTTTTCATTCAGCAAAGCCTGCATTTTCCATTGTCCATTCAGCATGGACACAAACTAATTGTACAATATGATTTTATTTCCTGTGGGAAAAGGTGTGTGGTAGTGGTTGGGGCACTCCGTGACCTGGCAGATTTATTGGAGCGTAATACGCCCTAATACGGTCACGCCAATTCTGCCAACAATTACATATATCGTCGGTTAGCTGGCACACTGCATTGTGACTAACAATGGCTCTACATTGTGTAATGCTGCCCATTTTCCACCGATGTGTTGTACTGCTGTGTATGTATTGCATGTACATGTATGTTTAGGCACCAGCAAAATTAACCCCCGTTCTATGTTCAAATCAACTCTTGTTACAAATGCGACTGTGCATAGCCTTCCGGTCGTTCAGTTTAGCAGGTGTCAATATACTGCAGACGTATTTGAAACCTGAGAGGCAAGATACATGTACATGTATGAACAAAAGGCACATTCGATGCACAATTCCGCCATTAAGTCGACTGACTTTTCAAATATTGCAATTACATTTGAAATTAAATCAAACAATTAGGAGAAAGGTTAAAGTTTTCAATCTTTCAGACATAGTATTTGTTTGGTGTTCACAGATACATTACCAATAACCGATAAATGTGCACTGTCAATTCGATGTCGGAATACAAAATGGCATATCATCATCTCAGGATTTTGAGTCAATGGCGCGACTACGTCATTTGAAATGTACACAATCTTTCTGTGGCAGCAGTAGTGATTCGACATTTGGTTCCCCATGTGCTAAATGTATTCACCCTAGGCGATCCCTGGAAACTGCACCCCAGTTACGTAACTATAGTCAGTATGTTTCCTTGGGGTATAAAGACAACTTCAGTCAGTGTTCCCGAACTTAATGACACAATTGGAAAGCGTCAATGATAGACTGAAAAGGCACCGAAAACAACTTAATAATTAAGAGACAGTCCCGTGCCATGATGCAAATTCAGCCATCCATTGCCAATTTCACGATTTTAAAGGATGTGTAATTGCAAACACCGTCAAAATCTGTGGGTTATAATGAATGCTAGAAATCATCCTTCTGACCTCAACTCATACCAAATTACTCATCTGCAAGGTATCTTTTGCGGTAAAGCATTTTGTGAATTGATCTATCATAATTTTCAGCAAAAAATGGTGTTAAGGCATATATATATAGTTTAGATTTTAAAAATGTGAGATGATAAACAAAACAAAAAATAGACGTACATGTAATAGGGTGAATGTAAATATCACGTTACACGGTCGTCGTATGCAGACTTCCAACAGGTGTTTCCTTGGAAACAAATATTTCAATTAATTACACAAGTGAATACAAGTGTACATTAATTGGAAACTTCAGAGCATGAACATTTCAGAGGGAACACTTCATAAAAATAAACAGAATTAATGTTGCTTTGTAAAATGAAATGACACAATACACCTGTGGTTATTCAAAGCCGTTGTATACAATGTTCAGTGCACATCGACAAGAGGTTGTATAATAAACCCTGCCTGAAACCATTCATGCGGAAATAATCGGGTTGCTCAAAAACATTTACATTTACGTCCCTGAAGTAAACTTGAAAGCTGGAGTTGTTTTTTTTTCTGCTGAACCACGTGAAAAGCGCACTGACGGTTATGAAGGGTCTTCAAGTTGAATTCCCGCTGAAACATCCCCCTAATTCTTTCCCCGAGGGGACATCGTGTGGCAATTAACAGAACGACCTTCGGAAATAAGACCAAATTTGCCTGAAAAAGTGTAACCCGTGAAGAATCTTTGACCCCAACGATCTGTCACGAATGCTTAGTATGCAGGGAATTTATACCAGGCGACTCATGGTCGACCCAATGGAGAGAAAGACTCGCTAAAAATACATGTAATAATACAAATACTGTAATTAAATTGATGAAAAAAAGACAAGCAAGAGTGTGATGCCAAAACAAAACTACTATACAACTGCATTTGTCAGTGCTGTTTTGCAAAACCTGTAAATTTAGGAATCAAGAACCCTAAAAACGTGATGTAGTCACATTTATGTAATTGATCGCACTGGCTAATCATAATCATAGAATCTCAGTGCTTTTAACGAAAGGTAGCATATTTTTAATTAAAAATAGTTCATTTTTATCTACCTTATACATTCAAGCAGTCACTTTAGCCACCAAAAAATTTCGAGGTAAATCCTTTCAATTTAAAAGGCGTCGTTATTCTATGAAGTTCTGTAACATGAAAAAGCGCGCATGTCCACTGTCAAAGCATAATATTTATCCGTCTACCCGTATAACATGCGCTCAGTACGTAGGCCCTAAGTGATATCTGAAAGACATATCAACATAATGAGACACATTGATTTCCCCTTAGCTATAGTTATGGTAACGTCTTGCTACTGTGCCTATAGTTTTCATTACAGTGAACCCTTGTCAGTGTCCCAACGATGGTTAGAGTCCAAATGTCACAAGTACTGAAAAAGGGGTCATGGGTCAATTGTTGATTCCCTGATCAGTGTACAGGGCCTATCAAGGGACAGATCCTAATCAAAAATGAGCCAGTGTACAAATGTTACCGTATTATCTGTGCCCCTAACATATGTAAAGTAACCATGGAAAGACCGTGTCTAAATTATTGGGCTGCGGCTTGAAATTACAAACAACTCTATATATACTGGCAGCTGCGACTGTGATAGACCTGTGTGTAAGTTGGACATTGCCTGTTTCACAAGAGGAGGTTCTAAGAATAACCAGCTGTGCTAACTCGACACTGGTGTCGGCACACGTTCTCTTGAAGTCGGCACCCCAGGCACATTTTCGTCCTCCTCAACCGTCTTGGCACACAAAAATGATCGTTTTCTTCTGTGAGCATTTGTGTGTTTTGTATTGAAACGATTATAAACTTATGGATGATAGTTAAGAGTATTGGTTCCCATGCATAAATTTAAGAAAACGTGTTTTACCCTCTAGTTTTGATGATTAACAGTTTGGTATTATTTTAATCATTATAAAAAAAAGAAAATATTCAGCTTCGTTTATGAAATCCATAGATAAAAGAGAGGAAATAAGTGAACGGATGTTGATAACTGATCTTGTTCTTAGTTGTTTTTCCACAAACAATGTTCTGGCGGTTTTGTTAATTATTTTCTTTTTTTCACAGTGACTGTTAAATTAACATTCTTGGACCTTTGTACCATGGTAAACACTAGAATTTTTGGTTTGTTTTACACTCGTTCAGTAATGAGCTGGTCATATGAATAAGAAAAATCAAATACGCCCAGATTCACTGGCTTCAATTTGAGAACTTTTTAGCATGGCATGATATGCAATCAAAATAATGAAACTAAACCTTGACTTAAAACGCTCGAGTATAAAAACACAATGATTTGATAAACATATAGACGCAAACTTTACAAAAACGAGACAAACAAGTTTAATCCCCGCCCCAAATCAACTCCCACACTGCAAGCATATAAAAGTATGGACATAAAAAGCCAAAATAGTAAACACAACTGGAAACACAAATAAACAATCCGTTGTATTGAGGATGTCAATACCGCTTGAACCTGGGCTGCTGGACTAACTTAAACTGCCGCCCCAATAGTCCCAAATGGCCACATGTAATGTCCGTTCCCTAAACTACTCCATCGTAAACTGATCTATGCCGAGTTTAGAACTGCAAAACCTACAAATAAAACCCCACTTGAAAAACATGTGACCCTTTGTTTGGTGAAAGGATTCAAGGACACAACGTGCCCTTTTGATTTCAAGGAACGATCTATTGTACAGATAGTTTTAGAGGTATTGATAATTCCTGGATTGAGCGACACTTGCCCCGTAGCACCTTCACCAGCCGTAACTTACCTACAGTGGTTTGTTATAAATGCATGACCACATCACACGTCAACAGTACACCACATCAAATTGTATCCGATGATCTGCCTTTGAAATTTGAGAAAGACTTAGATTCGAAATGGCAGACCCTCGAACATTATTTAAACATTTTGTAATCACTTCACTTGGGCAATGCTTTTCTTCAGAGAATGCGCATTAATGCGCCAAAGCCAACACTTTGCTGGCTGCAGCCTGACGCCGCGTCAACGTATTCAACACACATGTAGTCAACTAAACCTAAAATTGTGTCTTGCCTAAACCATTTGGCAAGGTTCCAGGGTTGGCATAACTTCAGTCGATGCATGACTCGAGTCACAACAATTAGTCAATATTACAACTCTACAAGGATATGCGTCAACCATAACTAGAACTGAGCTGTCTCAGTTTTGACTGTTTTTCAGATAGCCTAACTGCAGGGCAACTGAACGCACGTACGGGTCAAGGATCACATTTTGTGTGGATCGCGTAGCGCGCTGAACGTTGCAATGTACAATGTTTATACGTGAATAAACCAAAGACCAAAATGAAGTTGGACCTACATGGGTGTGTGTAGATTCAACCATAGAGCTACAAACCCAACTGACCCTATAGCAATAACTTGTCACTCGTTTTGAACGGCGAACGCTGAATTTAGGTCTACGACAGTTTTTAATTGTGTGTGGCAGCTTTGCTAGTGCCCAGCAGTGTAGACCAATGAGCTTGAGGTTAACATGTGTCTCGACACCGATAGTTTCGGCATGGTTTCGGTTTTGCTCGAAATGCTGGCTCACTTACTTGGCACAATAGAAATGTAAGTGAAGCCACGCATGTAATGCATTGTGCTTTGACGTACGTGTTCCAATTTGTATACCCTTCTACATGTAAAGCAACGACATCCAATTCCTTGAGTTTGCTGTTTCGAATGATACGAACACTAGTACACCTCCTCGAATTGTAATGATTTTGGCAATATTTAACGAGTGTTGAAAATCAGCAAAGATTACATGCCCTTCCGAGGGAAGATTTCACTGTTTTTCTTTCTAAAAATTTTTTTTGATTGCTAGCTTCGACAAGTAACGTAATAAATCAATAGTGATGTGCCAAAGTTCAACAATAAATTTAAGACTGGGTGGCCATTTTTGTTTAAAGTTAGATTGAAATTAAAGATAAGCCCACAGGAAGATATTGTCAACTTCTGTCGATGGATCGTAACCTGATAAAGAAAATGAAATCAAGCAACTCTATGCAAGTGTACACGCGCTGAACACATTGTCAAGATCAATGCCTAACGTTGGTAAAGCTATAGACTTTAACAGGTCTATAATTCAAAATTTTATGTTTATTGAGCTCATTAGTTGTAAATTACATCTTTTTGACATGAATTTAATGTTTTAACATCTCAATTCACAACATTAATTTCAGTCACAACAATAATTGTTCCTGAAATCTCAAGCCATCTTCAAAACATAGAAGCACAACGGATGTCCGATTTGAAAGCAACCACACTGTTTTTTTACTCTTAAAATTTAAATCATACAGTTGGTGTTAAAATAAAGCGATTTAAAAACTTTCAAAAGGTTCATACGAATAATAAATTTGCATTTCAATTTATTCGTGGAAAATGCACCTTTCTTTCTTTTTGTGAAAAGTAATTCGATATCATATGCTCAGTAAAACAATCAAAATTCACATCTGCCCACACAAAGGTTGATGGCGTATCAAAGGCTATATCGAGACATGAATCACAGAGCAAGGATGAAGTGACCATACCCCATACCAAGTAGGCCTGCTGACAAACATGTTACGTAATACACTAAAGGTTTAGCAATCAACACTGGTCAGCCCGGGAGGCACACAATCAACTATACGTTTTTGATAATGAAAGACTGTATCTACGACCATGTCCATGCAGTTGAAGGTTGTAAAACAGGTCGAAATATGTATAAAACAGGCGTTTCACAATAGTGCGCCTTCAAGAGTTTGCAACGCGTTGGCTAATCACAATGCACGAATCTGTCGACCCAATGTGCGTTTGGAACTTGTCGACAAATTTTGCGCATTGTGATTGACCAACGCGTTGCAAACTCTTGGAGGCGCACTATTGTGAATCGCCCATATCCCATATTGCCTGACCTTTCTTCTTATTAGGCCTACTGTCTTGTTTTCTTCATTGGTCTTTTTGTCAGTGGTATTGTCTATTGGTAATTTCCTCAGATATCCGCAGTAATGATATGCTGACTAGTTTTTTTTACAAAATGTTGCGTATTACATACATGCATTTCAGGAAACAAATTGCCTTTTATGAACGTGCAAATTTAACTCATTTTCAATTTGATTTAAATATAACAATTGAAATACTGCGACTTATTTAAATCAGCTTTTTGAAATTTTGAATAAGTCTACCTAATTGGATTCAGGCTGCAATCAGATTCCCATGCATTTAACTTAAAATCACAAACAAATAGTTAAAATCCTTTCTGGAAACTATTCATCAAACATATCACTTGACGATCGAAATTCGTACAATTTCAACGGAAGGGGAAATAAAAAGAACGACCAAAAAAACCCAAAACAAAACAAATTGCAAACTAGCACAGAGAGCCTGCATATCACTTTATATTAAAAATATTCTGAACAGTTTTTTCCGATTGTGTGAATTTTGGCAAGAAACTAAACGACAATTATCTCTTGACGCGGGACTGTTTAGGCTGAAACTCCTACCAAATCTCATTTTTTAATCGACTCCAACTCTGAAAATTACAATCCTTAATTTAAAAAAATCTTTTCGTAGACATCACAATTAATTTCCTCCTCAGAACAGATGGAATGAATGTTGCCGTAAATACAGGATTATAGCGCCACGTCCACTCAGCATCATGTAGTTTTAAACTACTTGCCATACAGTAACACAACACTCGCATTATCTATTCATAATAAATAAACCAGGCAGAAATCCGTGTCGCCAAATTCACACAACTGTAAAACTACAGACACGGCGGCCTCAAACACGGCTCCAAAACGAAGACAACCCCCATTTTTATCACGTACTTCGCTTGTAAAATCTGCGTGCCCCAGTTTATTACACAACGCCACGTAAGCAAGTCCCATGGCATTAACGTGTACAACTACTGTACATGTCCGCCACACACACAGACATTTTTTACAAGGTCGTTTTTTTTCCTTTCGGCTTCAACTTCCTTGCCGTGCTAATTGTGCATATAACACACATGAGTGATATCGTTACTTTAATGTCACTACAAGTCTCTTAAGACAGAGCCGACGTCAGGACAGACAAGTATTCACTGTGCCACACATGACAGACAGGATAACGAAACAGTTTCAGCAATGTCCAGACTATAATGGTTGTGTACACAATCATCCACTCGTACCAGGAACTTTACACCGTTAACTTTTGGGTCGTAAAGAATAACAGTAGTGCTATTGTCAATGCACGACCACAGAAAAAGCTACGACACGAAACAGTATATCACCGGGCTTTCCAACGCAAAATATTTTCTCACTCACCAAACTACGTTACATGAATATATAAACATGACAAGGTGTATTCTTACCTTGCCGAAGGCAGTCAATTTTGGGCAATTTTTGAGCAGATGAAGCCGCACAGAGGAAAAATTCACCGCGGAATTGGCGCTTCGAAAACAGATGTGGAATCCAAAATGGCGATAGACCATCGGTGCGCGCGCAGCTTTTCATGTTGCTGGTCGATGGTGCGTAGTGGCTTTTGTAACCAAGTAAACTAGCGCGTGAGTTTTGGGGTCTGGAGGGACTCGAGTTGACCGCATGGTGTCCTTTTGTCCCCTGTGGCACGGTTTGTTATTGTGTTAGTGTATACAACCATTTCTGTATCTGAAATCTGTAAACGCAAAGACATAAAAGCACCGCAACTCTATAAGAATGTTTCGGTTCACCTCTTTCAGGTCTAATTGATATACTTTGATGTAACTTTTTGTTTATGGTGTGAGAAAACCTGAAAATTAGACATCTGGGCCCACATCACGCCAGTTTGTTTATACTGAATGTCAAGAAGATATAGTAGCCTAATTCTCACTTTGTTAAGGATTCTTTTCAGATGGTGATACGTGAAACGATCTCCATATGGCCGTTTGTAGCTTCAAAAAGGCTGAGCCTCGAAGCCCTGAGAAAAGTAAGAAAATTGCTATGACATTTATCACGTCGCACCAGCAAAGCCAGTTGCACCATTTAGAGGAACTTAAAAATTAAAAAAAAAAGAGCGGAAAACATATGGCTTACTGCATTTCAAAATGTGTTATAATTCATTTCCTGTTTATACACATTGCATGCACAGCCTTAGCGTATAGATATCGAAATTGCCATACAATGATAATGGATGAAAAATTCAAAACAATGAATTTCCGTTTGTGATGAATACTGAATATTTATTAATTTGAAATTGTACTGGATTTCAAGAACTGCAGTTCATAAGATTAGAAATGAATTCCGCTTTTGCTTAAATTAATCAAATTTCCTGACAGTTTCAAAACATTCCTTTCATTTCACATGAGAAATAAATCGAGCACGGCAGTGATTTTATGCAGATATGACGAGTGATCACAAATGGACCCTGGCCAATAGATTATTTTAGGCCGATAAAATATACTTGCGATTAATCAGACGTATATGATGCAGATCATGGTGGAGTAAAGACAAACATAAATGGAAGGGTAATTTCAGACATCCGTTGCCACATGTTCACTGCATAATTAAACTAACCAGTTTTATCTTGTCAGTGAATTCATCGCACAATGAGCTAATTCACCTGATCTTAATCCCTGAAACTACTGATGCTTGCATGATTATTATAATAAATTATGACTGAAATTTCTTACTGTCTCGGTACGGTAGCGATCCCGATCGACACACAGTAATTAATTGATATAGACACAATGAAATAACACAATGCCGTTTTCTGGAGATTAGTTGTAGATATTGTATTTAAATGATCTGATGTGGAAAATATATAAATTGACATATAATAACGATACGCATTATTAAATACACTAAATTTCCTAACTTCAACGAGTATTCAGTAAAAGGAATGATCATGACTGCCATGCACAGTCCCACTTGCTCCGGTATTCGATCGAGACACATCATTATGTGAGATCACGAGGTTTGAATATACAGGGGCTCACGCGATCTGTCAATATCTACTCTGGGACAAGAGATCAATATTGCTGTCTTTGGCAACTGCTGATGATGTCACCACTTCTTTATTTTCAACAGAGAACGGTTATTTTATATTTTAAAAGAAAAGAAGCACCAAATTAAAGCACTTAATCAAAATAGAGGTAAGTGTTTTTTTTTCTTTCGTATACATTTTGAAATGTGACCTGGAGTATATAATAGCACCAATACTTCAATTTTTTCATGTTGCCTCAGTGCGTGCTCAGGAAAAAGTTTTTGTTGTTTCTACTCTTTCTAGGAAAGGCAGTGCAGACACAAACATATAAATCTCAAACGAAAATTTGTAATTCCCAAGAATTTAAAGAAAACAGTGCGATGACCCGTCATTTCATTTACTGCTTTGCCTATTCTATTTGCCTTGAGGAGAAGCACCCACTTATTAGTTGAAAAGAAGCCAGACTGGTTGGGAGTTTTCATTTTGCTGCTAGCCACGTGCGACCGTAATGCATTTAGTCGTTCGTGAACCAACGAAATGCAGTTCCGACCAAAGGAGCCCCCATTATTGGGAGAATTGCGCCCTCTCTTGGTCCAGCTCAAGGCTCATAGGTCAGTGTACAGGACGCTCACGTGATATGTTGTGCTGAAAGCAACTTTACGTTTTATTTGCGAACAATACATTATTCACATGGATAACATCCCTTTGAATGCAACTGTTTTGCTATGGTTTTGGCCGTAACACACACACGTTTGACTCGACTATAATAATTCGATAATTTAATCTTTTCTTGGCACAAAGAAAACAATTCAATGACTGTTAAACTGTTTATCATTAGCACCTCTCATGTAATGAAATACGAACTATCAGATGAAGAAGTTTTTTTTATTTGTAATTTAAACAAATATGATACACAAGCGGTTACCAACTGTACAAGTGCATAAGATAAGTAGAAGCTGCCGTTACGTACGTTGGACATGTACACCGTTCAAGAATAGACTGTGCAATTCAACACTGTTGTAAACACTTTCTTTTACCAAATATTTGTAAATGTTTAGAATGTTGGATATTGGAATACCGTAAGCAATTGTACACAAACGTTTAGAAATTAGACACGAACAAGTTGTGCTATTGTTACAAAGTAATATCGCAAAATTGTGTTGGACTTATTTCATTTCAGTTTGTATCAATGTTTGTAAATTGTTAGTTGTACATGTAATTGTAAATTTGAATGCTGTCCGTCTTAGAACCGTTTTATTCAAATGTTTGTGCGAATAAATAAACCAATAATAACGTTTTAGAGTATAATACGTCTGCCAGAAAAGACGAACTTTAAAGTGGAGCTGCAGTGACTTTTTCTTACACACAATTTTTATGTAACTTTATACCCTTCTTTAATATGCATCAAAAAGTGTCCTGTTTTATAACATTTAAAATTATCCATGCTGCTTTCCTGGAAAACTGAGGGCGTTGTTGGTGCGTCATCTGGGGACGTCATAGTTTGGTGCATAGGTTTTTCTGTTCAAACAGTGAATCCAGAATTTACTTACTGAAAACATTCATCGATTGCTTGCTTATTGCTTTGTACTCAAACAATTTAGTTCGGTAAAATCTTGTTTTAAGAAATTCAGTTTTGTGTGTTTAAACCAATGTAATTTTGAGACTTTCTTCCTGGGTTGACGTCACGGTTTTGTTTCTGAATATGAAAATTCTATTGGCATAAAAACTAAAAAGCCATTGAAATGCCACTTGAAAGTAGTTAAACAAACATTGGAAATGAAATTACCTGAGTGCATTTGGAAGGTCTGCACCAAAAAGTCTAATGTATAGCTACCCTTTAATTATGGATTTCATTTGTTAAATCATATACCAAGAGGTTCCCTCTGCAGCTTTAAAATCACTTTGAATTTATATGTTTAAGAAAACGACCACTCTTTCATGCCACGCACATCTGCACACCCTCTGTTAGTATCATTAATGTTGTCCTGAGTTATAGGCCTAAATCGTTTTAACAGAATGTTTCAAAGTTTAACCTATTACTGGGTATGCAAAATGACCCGCTATGCAATGCTGTTCTGAAGCAACATGGAATACCCGTAGTTGCTCAAAGGACCATAGGTCAAAGGACCAAAGGTCATAGGTTTAAGCATGGTAAGCATGGCTCAGTCGTGGCTTCTGTAATCAAATAAAATCAATCAGACATACAGGAGCCTTCTGCTTTAAACACAGACGAAGCTCTTTGATGCGTCTTACTTCGAGAGTTAGAATTTTGTACAGTCAGTTAGTCTGCCAATATACAAGTATTCAATGATTTTTTCTGAGTTCATCGAACATACTGAACACAGTTGGGGTATTACAAATAGCAGTTTGTTTACTGTTTTGCTTATTCTCGTTTGTAGTTGTATGTTTCTTCATTGATGAAATATGTTGTTATGCATCACCCTCAGGCTAAGTGAACAAATATTGATATTTTATTCAGTCAGCCAATCCTTTTGCCAACTGGAGTGTCAGTGTGGATGCTGCATGCCTATAGTTAAAATGTGAAGATCAAATTACTGGTATGGATTTAAGTGCAATATGCGAAACGGAGGAGTACAGCTGTTATGCTGTCAAAAACGTAGCTTTGGGCTTGTATTTTAACGATGACTGGGCTATAACCATGTCTTCATCCGCCATTCTAGCATTAAAGCAAACTATAATCGGTATGATCTGATTGTCGATCACTTTACAAGGAAGCCTTTACGACCAGCTGATCTTTATGATTTACTAAGATACGATAGAATTTTCGAAACTTTTCTTGCAAAGAATTGTCATACCCACTGCACTTTAGAAGGCAGGCGAGAAAAATCCTCTCAGGAAAAAGCAAGAAAATTCTCTCTGCAAAATATATGGTTTGGAATTGCTGAGGTCTAAATTATTTTCTCCATCCCCCGGTAAATTTTTGAAGTGATTGGAACCAAAGGTTTGTTGCACTGACTTCTATTCAATAGAGAGAAGTGCCTAGGCATATTTTAGTATTCAGTGAGTGGTTACAAAAGAACAAAATGGCTTTAAATTGAATGCAACAACCTGACAATTCCCAGTGTATAATGTAACTGTTCTGACTGATAAAAGAAATGGAAATCATAATCTGCGAGTACATGTAGTAGCAAGTCTCATAAGGAAGCAGGGCTTATTCTTTTTGACAAATTTTATCTCAGGCTGACCCCCCCCAGGATTTCACCCTCCAGCTTTGACAGCACGGCGGTACTCATGGAACGTTTAATATTACTATTAGAGATATCGTTATTTTTTGGAATATCTCTTTTGTGAGGAGATCTCGATTAACAATAATGATATCTCAATTAGAAATGGTAATATCTCTATTTCATTTTCGTTTCAGAGGTTGGGGCGTGTGATTGTCTGAAAAACTGTTCTCTTAGGGAGCCCTACAATTCGTGAAGGGTTGGGAAACCATCAGATTGGTGGAGGCTCAGCCAAATGCCAACCCACGTGTCAGTGGGCGTTCAGTGCATGCTAAGTTCAGTCACATCCCTCGGCTGGAACTGGGCATGCTCCAGC